TATTGTTACAGTCAATATCATTGTTTTTTTTGAAAATATTAACTATTGATTTTCATTTTATCTTAAATAATAAATAGTGTGTGAGTATTTTTATCATTTCACTATTATTACAATTAATATTATTGTTTTTGAAAACATACTAACTGTTGATTTTGTTTTATCTTAAATAATAAATAGTGTGTGAGTATTTTTATCATTTCACTATTATTACAGTCAATATCATTTTTTTTTTTTGAAAATATTAACTGTTGATTTTTGTTTTATTTTATGTAATAAATAGGGCAAGTATTTTTATTTTTTACTATTATTACAGCTTGAAAAATATTAACTGTTTGATTTTCAAATTATTTTAAATAATAAATAGGCAAGTATTCTCATCATTTACCATTATTACAGTTAATTGTTTTGAAAAAAATATTAACTGTTGATTGATTTTCATTTTGTTTTAAATAGGAGATAGCACTTTGGCTCGTTGATAACTTCATTTAACTGTTGATTTATTTTCATTTTGTTTTAAATAATAAATGGGCAAGTATTTTTATTTTTTACCATTATTACAGTCAATTGTTTTGAAAAAAATATTAACTTTCATTTTATTTTAAATAGAAAATAGCTCTTTGGCTCTTTGATAACTTCCTTTATCTCTAACTTTTTTTACTTTCATCTTATATTTTTTATTGTTAGTTATAATTTTTACATTGCTTTAAGATTCATGCAAACTATATATTATAACATAGGAAGCAAACATAAATAAAACAGTTCATACACAATAAGTGTTTATTTATTATAATTTGAAAAGATTTATATGTGTCAATTAAAGTTACATCCGATAAAAGAGTTAAATAGTGTGATACAGTGCGGATCATCTATACTCAAGTTAAAATATTATATGATCCACACATTGGATTTTTAAAAACCACTGCCATTCAATTCAGCTTTAAAAAAGGTCTTAAAAAATTTTTTGTCTCGGATTTTCTTTTCATAGATTTTTTAAATTTGAAAGTTATGCTCAAAAATACAACAATAATTTCCGTGTTACAATATTAAATCTCACGACCAAAATTATTTACGGTAGTCAAAATTGCTATATTAATACACAGACAGACTCGATAAGTCAGCCGCATAATTTATACGATTGAGTACTTTAAACAATTGATCACTGCGGGCTGACTTATCGAGTCTGTCTGTGTATTACGGAATTATGTTGGCCAAAATTATTTATGGAGCCAAATTATTTATGGTGAAATTATTTACGGAATTACGAGTTTTATACTTTCTTGTTGTAACAATAGCAATAAAAATTGTAATTCATACGGAATTTCCGTATATAAGTTTCTATAATGATAATGATAATGATAATAATAATCAAATATACGTAATTTCAGTTAATTTGATACGTTTTTTAAATAAAACCTCGTGACGGAGAATTGCGAATTTCCGTATTAGTATATTTTACAATTTTTTCCGGAATAATTCCGTATCTTTTATAACAATCATTTCATAGTAATAGCAATAAAAATTATAATTCATACGGAATTTCCGTATGCAAATTTTTTATAGGGAAGGTAAATTGCTGGCAGGTGTTTTATTCACTAAGATTAGGAAAAAAAGTTGGTAAAAGTTAAATCATTTAAACCTCCATTACGAAAACCACGAAAATATTTTGTGAAGGATTAATAGTGGAATTTAAAAAATTTTTTTTTTCAAAGGATACAAAGATCACGTTGACTCGTTTGCAACATATGTGAATTGATCGACAAAGAAGCATAAATGGGAATTGATTTCCAAATTTAGTATATATATAGATTCAAAAATTCATAATAATAATAATGATAGGGTAAGAAAATTAGTAAATATGGCATATCAGTCGCTGTAAATAAAAATAAAGATCTTTATGAAACTCTTGAAGTGCAAAAAAATGCATCACACTCAGATATAAAGAATGCATATTATGTAGTATGTTAGATATATATATTAAATCATTATATATGTGTTTAAATACACTTATCATATACACACACATATATTTACTTAGTTTTTTATTTGTGAATCTTAGCAAAAAGTATCACCCTGATATTGATGAAGATACAGCAACATAAGAAAATTTGTACAAATTCAAGAAGCTTATGATGTAAATAATTAGGATATTAAATGAAAGAGTGAAAAATCAAAGATCAAGAAATATTATATGACGAAGAAAAACGTGCACAGTATGATCAATGGGGCGCAGCACGTAAGGTATTCTATACAAGTTTATTAATATATTACAATAATAATAACGAAATGAAGAAGGAGGTCCAATAGGCACATGTGGATTTCCTGGTGACAGTGACGCAAATTATGGTGGATTTTCTGGATTTAGTGAAGAGTTGTTTAGCAGTATATTTGACGGATGATTTGACAGATCAAGAGTTAAAACGGGTTACAGACAACCTTATACAACTGGATCTGATATTGAAGTGCCTTTTACATCATTATTTTTATATCAATCACAATATATATATAATTAAATTAAATTATATTAAAATTAATAATATTGTAATCAAAAGATTTCTTTAAATATAACTTTTATGGAGTTGGTGAAAGGAGCTGAAAAAACTGTTGCTAAAGAAACAATAGCTTTTTGTAAAGTGTGTAATGGTCTTGTCACAAAAGGTGGAAAAACTCCAAAACATGTAAAACATGTAAAGGATCATGTGTACAATATATTGCTATAGCATTGCAAACCACCTGTCCTTTTTGTAATGGCATAGGTACAAAAATATCACCTGGAGATAGATGTCCAACATGTTCTGGTATAGGTCAAGTAAAAGAAAGAAAACCTATTTCTATTGATATTTCTGCTGGTAATATATCCAAATTTTTTCAATTAAATATCTCTTATTAATTAATTAATTAATTAAACCAACTAATTAGTTATTTGTATTTGTCTCAATAAATTATAGGTATTGAAGATGAACAAAAATCAAATCAATTAGACAAGGTGATGCACCTTATGACCGTCAAGGAACACCCAGAGATTTATTTGTAAAATTACTCCACACAATATATTTAAGAGACAAGGCGCAAATATTATTGTCAATAAATAAATACCATTATATCAAGCAATTATAGATGGTTATATAGTAATGCCTATGATAGATTGCAATGTTGAATTAAAAGTTCCTGATGCTCCACAACCTGATCAACATATTGTATTAAAAACGTGGCATAAACAATGGCAATTTCCAAGGTGATCAATATGTCAATTTGAAAGTAAATTTATAAGTTGGAGGAATTTGGTGGAATTATTTCTTAAATTTAAAAAAAGAAAAAAATCATAATAATATAAAATTTTTATTTGAATTTAATAGAGCTTTTACACCTCAACAAAAAGAAATAATAACAGAAATCACTAAAGGTACTGCAACTTCAAAAAGATTCTGACAATTCTTAAAGTATATTTGAAAAAATTTACATCATACTGATAAAAAAGCACCAATTATTCATGTTGATTGTGCAAAGTAATTTCCAAATGTAATAATAAATTTTAATTTTTGTGTTATAGTGTAATTCTAAGTTTCAATGACATAATAGATTGATGTTTTTCCCAATTTTACAGATCCTGGTGTTCAAAAGAAATAAAAGCATCCAATTATGGAGATACAATTAGTCCTTATAAAAGTGGGTTAACCAAAATGCCATAAATTTATTATTAAGATTATATGGCTTTTCAATACAAAAGAACCATGATGTGAAAAAAAAAAAGCTAATTTTGAGTTCATGATATATACTTCATGGTAAAATTTTGTAATGCAATTAAATCATCTCTGAATTATATATATATTTAGTAGAGAATTGCTATTTCTCACCGGTGGTGATTGTCACCACCTAAGGAATTAAATTTGCGTGGGCGGAGTTAGGGTTGGGGTTAATCATAAATTGTATAATTCCTTAGGTGGTGACAATCACCACCGGTGAGAAATAGCAATTCCCTATTTAGTAATCATAATATAAAATAAAAATTTAATAAATTAATCTAACATTGTATTTATTATTTTATTTTTTATCAATTATTTGAAAAATTTCCAATTCATTAATTCAGCTTTGATTTACTATCTTGATGTTATTATAAGTATATGATATACTGTAAATCGTACCAAATAAATCAAAATAAATGTCACTATTAGCACACCACCATCACCGCCACCAAATCTAGGTAAATCACCAGAATGATCCCAAACTGCATGTTTATAATCATTATTAATGACATAACTAAATTGAGCAGAATTAATATCATTTCTATTACTTATGTTAAATATTGAAATGTTTCTTATTCAACAGTGTGCTGCCTTGACATCTTTGTAATTATAATAATAATAATAGTATTATTATTATTACAATTACGAAAAGCAAAATATTATCAATGAAAATCTTGTAATCACCCAGCAAATGATCTGCTCCGCATTTTGATTTCCAATTAAAATATTTATAATAACCAAAAATATCAATACAAGTAAAAAGTAGTACCTCTGGTTAGTTATTAACACGTACTCTTTAGGAGACCCAAACCAAACAACAAACAACAACGTTCACGTTTTGTCACCTTGGACTCTGTCAAAAAATAAATTGTTTTTTGTTTTTCCAAAAAAAAAAAATCATTCGCGTCTGTCCTACCAGAAAAAAAAACCAATTAAACAAACTTCTTTTTAAAAATATTTTTTATTAAAACGTCTTCTAAAAAAAGAACCAGAGAAAATGATTCTGGAGTCGCTGGATAAGTGTTTTAAGGATGGTGGTGGTTGTTATCGCCCGCCACTCGTCGTTACTCTAGTTAAATAATAATACTTGTCATTATTCATGTTTTTTTTCTTCTTACAATATGACAGTCAAGTTAAAAAGGGCAAAGTAAAGATTGTTGATTGGTCAGATGAAGATGATTGGCAACCAGATTCAATCACAACATATTTAAATAAAACATCATCTAATCAACAACAACAACAAGAACAGCAACAACAAGATCAACCACAGCAACAAAAAATTGAGGAACCTCGGCCAGCCATATGGACCAGCTTGGTCCATAATGGGGTTTGTTTTCCTCAGGAGTATGTCCCTCACAATGTAAACATGA